TAATAAAATGCAAATACTTCATGTCTTAGTAATTAACAGGAAAGCAAGAGAATGCTTTTGCTGCCACAGTTCACGTAAATAACTTATTTTGAAGGCTATTGACTCCATGTTTATGTCTTTGGTTAAAGCTCATGATTATGTTAAATAGCTCACCTTCTAGCCTTTAATATCTTAGTATGGGGTTCTTTATCATTCTTGTTCTGGTATATTTTGACTAGGAAAAAATATGTTGTAATCGGAAGTTGTTGCTTTTCCTCTACTGCTTCAAAAAAATTAATTTAATTGTAAGTGCCTTATGTGTACTTTGCTTAATTATTATTCTTTAAAATCTTTTGAATTTGTACCCCAAAGGAACAACAAAAGCTGATGCATTGCTATTATTTGATGCTAGAGAAAAGGTTACCTCTTAGATGTGGATATCAAGTATGTTGATGCAGTGTGAGATATTCGAGTAATGCAATGTAATGAGATATGGGAAGATGAAATCATTTGAAGTTGTGGAGTGAATTTTCCTCATCTTTTTATCTCATCTTATCATTTTACTCAGTTTTAATGACACATATGTTATGCAATTGTATCTTCAATTTCAAATGAAAAACTAAATTGTTAATCTTATAATCATGTTGGTGACTTGTTATAAGTAATTTACATAAAATGTAGGGAAAAGGGGCAAATAAGCCCTCAAACTAATCAAAAAAGTGCAAATAAGCCCTTTTGTAGGACGTTCCGTCCGGTCATCGTCATTTGGGGAGGTTCACAGTGGAATTTTTTGATGAAATGTTTTGAGCATCTTATTCATTAAGTCTAGTTTAGTCCTACTGAATTTCAGCTAAAAATTCAACCGGGAAGACAGTCAAATGAATTTTTGAAGATAACTGCGCAGTTAAACAACACAGTATATTTCCGAAAATCATTTGAGTGCCTTCCCGGTTGAATTTTTAGTTGAAATTCGGTATGGCTAAACTACACTTGATGAAGAAGATGCTAAAAAAAATCATCAAAAAATTCCACTGAGAACCTCCCCAAATGACGATGATCGGACATAACATCATACAAAAGGGCTTATTTGCACTTTTTTTATTAGTTCAAGGGCTTATTTGCCTCTTTACCCTAAAATGTATCTATTATTAGATTTGGAGAAAATGGATGAGATTTATGGATTTGTACTACTACTTCTTATGTTTGCTTCCCTTTTATGAAATTATGAAAACACAGACAATGTTGTCACGCACGGAAAAAATACATGAACACCCAGACAACAATTATTAACTATGCACAGACAAAATAAACGAAAAACAGACAATGTTTTAATCGTGCACAGACAATATAAACAATGAAAGATGATGTTTCAACAACACACGGACAAAATAGAAACGCAGAGACAATAATTTTTTCTATGCACATATAAAGTAAAGGGAAAACTGTCAAATAAGCCCTCGTAGTATAGCGAAAAGATCAATTAAGCCCTCCAACTAAGAGAATGTTGGAAAGATTGAGAGTATTTCAAACTAATAATGTTTTATAAATCAATTTTATTAGAAAGATATCTTTTTCTATATTCTGTTAATAATATTTTTAATGTATTAAAAATATTAAGAGTTATTATGAATCTTTAAACAAATAAGGACGTTGATATGTGTATAAATGGGCCATAACGTTTTCAAACGTTTACATTATTAACTTCCTAATAATGAATCTTTAAACAAGTGGAGTGAAGTTATTCATGTGCTCGTCTACGTATATACGTGGGAGTCACTAACATTAATATTATTTATTATTTAGGAATGTTAGTCTAACGTTCCAACCCGAGCAGCAACGAATTTACATGTATATATATGGGTTTCGGCCTGGAGTTTCTTAGAGAGAGAGTAAAATAATTTTGAGCTAAAACATCCCCTAAAATTCTCACTCTGCTGGATTAATATAATTCTTCATTCTTCATTCTTGTTGTTCTGTTACCGGCTTACGCCGAAGAGCTCGTGTTATCTTGGGGAAAAATTTTCGCTAGTCGGAAATACTTTCTTGAGGAAAGAACTTACGTGACTCGAGCTATATTATTTTACTAACGATTTTTTGCAGGTTTATCCGGCCAACTTCACCAACAAAGAACACCCAATTAAGCCTACGAACTTTAGAAAAACAACCAATTGTATAATTTAGTAGGTTGCTCAGCGTTGCTGTCCAGTTACCCGGTTGTTTTGTTGACTTGGCTATCCATGTGTCTTATTTTTTTATTTTCTTAAGGGCCTGTAAGAGTCTTTATTGAAGAGAACCCGACGGCGAAGATGGCCTTGAGCATCTGAATGAAGGAGACGGAGGGGTAGATGTATGTAGGCGGAGTTGGAGACCCAAAGGGAGAGGGCACCGACGGGATGCGTTCCAGAAAGGGAGGAGGATACGACGAACAATCTGGGTAAGAACAATACGCGTTTTAGATTCAGACAAGACAGGGAGGGAGTCACGATTGAGTTTTCAAAGAAAGAGTAAAAAACTTGGTCAGGGTCCAATCAAAGAAGATGAGGTTGGAGTGGCAAATTATGATTTTATTAAGTGTTCTAATATTTGGGATATCAACTACATCGGAGGAGATAGCGTTGACGGATGAACAAGGTGCGGCTGAGAGGTTGTATCGAGGTTGCTTGGTGAAGCCTTGCTCGACTATCCTGACAGTGGTAGAGTTGATATTCATCCATATTGCAAGAGCTCGTCCTCATTCGAAACCACCTCCATATAAGGAAGAACTTTGTGAAAAGATTTTATTTCAGTATTATTTTCTTTTTAGTAGCAATTGTTTATGTTATAGTCTGAGTAGATTTGATTTGAATGTTTAGATTTTTTGAGTTCTTTTGATAGACAGAGTTTCGGTTCTGGTTGTATCCCGTGCAACGTACAAATGAAATAATATACGAAGTATTACTTTTTGGCACACCAACAGTCCGTTTGATAACATTGAAGTCGACTGAATCTATTGATTTTGCTGGAATTTATGAACTTCTGTTCCAAGTGGGTGAATTGGCTGATTCTGTTGATTTATGAAAAAATTATATTTAAAAGATATTTTATTAATAAAATAAAGAGAAAAATACATGAAAATAGTCAAATACTCAAATACAATTAGGAAAGTATTTCCAACGTTATCTTTTCTTATTATTATACAAAAAACGCGCGAAATTAAATATTTCGTGTTTTATGAAAAATTGATGGATAAAGATGATAAATCAAAAAATAGGATCACCAAACTGACTCCAAATATTACTTTTTTTTTTGAAGGACTCCAAATATTACTTTAATTACTTTAAATTTGTTCAGTCCATTTTAACCCGCTATATGGCCCAATAAATAACTGAGCAACTAAACCAACCCAACCCAATATATAACCTACACCTCAGCCTACTTGTGACTCCTTTGTGATATATCGCATTAGTTGCAACATTTCAAATCACACACTATTAATATATTCTACTTTGACTACATTTTATTTATTAGTGTATATGAATTAATACTTTTGAAAAATATTGTTGAATTCGTCTCATAATAAAGTTTCATAATCTGATATTTAATTATTTTTTACTAATACAGAATTAAATGTAATGACGGTCGAAGTTGTGCCTTGACAAACGTGAAAAATGAACGTTGCAACAAAAAGAAGAAGGGGAAATCAGCCGATATTAGCCCCCTGAGGTTATGCCATAATTATTAATGCAACCTTGGATTTTCAAAAATCAATTGCATGCCCCTGAGTTTTTTCAAAAATCAATTGCAACCTTGCATTTTTATATTTCTCACTGTTTCTTCCCTCCATTAATATTTGTTAAATTAAATTTAATACTCCGCATAACTTTAAAATTTAATGAAAATTGTCTACAAAATTAAATTTTGAAGTAAAGTACAATTCAATATCATAATCATAATAATACATTTAATAAATATTATTGAATGTAGTTAAGAGAGAAGACTCACGAGTGAAATATAAAATATCATGGATTTTCATCTTTTTTAAATTATATATATATCATTTTGATCTTATTAAACTAATAAACTTTTGCGAATAAAAATCTTAAAAATTAGCAATAGAATTAATAAAAACATCAAAATCTGTGATATATATTTTAGGTCTTAGATAGATTGATAGCTTACAGTTACTTAGATCGTATATCGAATATTCTATCTTTCAGCTTCGTTATTAACACTAGACCAATCTTTTAAGTCATGGATTGATAAAATTTCTTTTTTTTTTCTTGGTATTTTTTCTTTGCTACACACGAAATAAATGTCATTGGGATTAATTCAGACGGATGAATTACAAATTAGACTTTTATGTTCACGATGAAGAAGTGTCTAGGACTTTGATTAAAATATTTCAAACAACTTTCTTTGATATATCTCATGAATATTATTTAGCTGTGACTCTTCTATCTTAACTACTTTTATTAATATTTATTCCACGATCAAGTAGCTAAGTACACAAATAATGATCAATAACATTGATTTATAATTATCATAATAAATTGTATTTTGCTCTTAAAATTTAATTCTATAGACAATTTTCATTGCTTGTACGAATTATACGGAGTATTAAATTTCATTTAACAAGTATTAACATGAGGGACATATAGTGAGAATGATCAAAAGTGAAGGGATAATTAATTGATTTTTAAAAATGCAAAATTGCATTCATAGTTATTATGCCTTAGGGGTCAATAATAGTTTGCCCAAAGTAGAAAGAATGTATTAAGGGTCTGTTTGCAATAGTTTCTGCTTTTAAAAAAGTGTTTTTTTAATGAAATGAGGAGAAGTGGTTAAATAAAAGTTGATAGTGTTTGAGAAAAAAGTGATTTTGAAAAAAAGTTATAGTGTAATAGAAAAAGTAAAAGCACTTTTGACGCGAAAGTAAAGAAAAATAAAAATTATAGTGTTTGAAAAAATAAGTATTTTTTTAAAGTCAAAAGCGTAATTTTTAAAAGCATTTGCAAAGTGATATATGTATATCAATTCCTTCGCTTCCATGTATACCCCGCCAGCCGCTTCCTGCACGATTAGATATACATATCCCATCTACTATTGAAAATCACGTTTGTCATTCTACAACAGAAAGACTCAAATTGCCGAAGTTCTTCCATCGGTTCAAATCTCCAGATCGGTAAGTTTTCATATGAACGCATTTGTTAAGCGTATGTTTATGTTTCGTTCCAAGCTATCCTAAAACCCAAAGGTCAGGCACTGATTTACTTTTCCATTTTCCTTTGATGTTATCTAGCTAGGGCTCTTACTCACGAACACCTTGGAGGCCATTAAAGTTATGTTTTTAATTTTCCAAGAAAATATTTTTGTTGTTTTTCGTAATCTGTATGAAAATCTTCAGATTAAAAGATTTTTTATTTATTCATTTTTAATTGATATTGATATAAATAACAATTTTGGGTACTATCAGTGTCCTGGACCTTTACTGTGTTTGACTCCAACTCGATACTCAAATAGATTGTTATTTTTTAACATTTCGTTCTTACTTTACTCGTGTAAACAAACTATTTTTCCTTATTACGCAGTATTAGAACTGGTTTTCCTGCAATTAAGAGCAATAGTAACTAACTAGTGTGACTCAACGTTTAAATAAAAACAGTAATGACCCCCTAGATGCAATGTTTTTTTGTCCTCATCTCCCTCAAACAAATATATGCTAGTTGTTGAATCTTTTCACCCTAAATCAAACAGACTGTCATTCTTTACATCCTATTTTCTTTATTAATAAGTTTCAACTAAATTAACTGTTTTACCATAACTACTGAAAAAGCTAACATAAATACGATATACGGAGCAAGGCTGTCATAAGTTAAGCAAACCAGGCGCAGGGAGCATGGCATCCGCACATGGGAGAAGGGGACGCGCACGTACATGAGTTAAGCGCAGCATAAGCACAGACACGCACGAGGCGCTGAAGCGAACAAAGTCGCGCGCCTGGGCTGCCTGATGCACATGAGGCTGACAGCCTTTTTATTTTGCTTAGAACTTTAAAAAATAAATAGCCCATATCTTTAATAATACTCAGTCCATCTAAATAATAGGGTAGAACAAGTGAAACCTACTTAAAGCCTAAGTCATGTAAGTAAAAACCTAAAATCCAGCGTAAAAATCATTCACTATAGAAAATTACTTTTTTTTGTTAGTATAAGCTAATGAGATAATAGGTTTACGCATCACTCACACATAAGATGATATTTTTCATATTGCAGACTGAGATTGAAAGAGAGGATGAGTAGAGGTAGAAGGATTGAGTTGTATTCATTCGGAAAGTGTTTGTTAGGTAGTAGTAGTAGTTATATAACAATGAATGATCTTTTTGTAAAGAAAATACACATGCCAAGAACAGGTTGGCGAGATTTGATTGGCTAAAAATACACTTGTCCTAAAGAATAGGCCGTTGAGATTTTAGTGGCTGGAAATACACCCGTCCCAATGAATAGGTTGGCTAGATTTGATGGGCTGTATTTTTTACAAATTTAATTATATTTTATGTATACTTTGTTCCTATTCTCCAAGAAACAGGTTGTCTGGACTTGATTGGGGTTGTTTATAGTGTGCTCATTGATTAACTTTCATCAATGTTTTTCGCTGTATATGTTGTCTTTATTTGTTAATTTTAATTCTTTGTAATAAAAGTCTCCACTGTAGCTGATACGATTTGATAGTTAGTATACAATATTGTGTTCTATATTTCTACTTTTGAGGCTTTTATATGGTGGGCGTGCATGCTGCTCTATACCATGGGGATGTTTGGGCGGGAATGCTTTTCACAAAACATTTTGCTTTTATATAATGATCATGAATTGTTATTTTAGTTCACCTCAGAAAAGAAGTTGCTGCTGATTATTTTGTTATATGTTGATACTAATTTACTAATATAATTACTTCATTACTTTATTAAAGTCCAAGATTTGTCTTTAATTCATTTGTTTTCCTGAATAATATCTTTTTTAGGAGTTTGAATAGTTATACATTCACTTGTGCTTCAATTCTAGTGTAGAGAAATATATCACATTTTAAGATTTACAAAATGAGTAAATAAGTAAGCAATTCCAAAATTAAGTAAATAAATAAATACAAGTAAACAAAAATGTCAATGAGGTCACTTGGACTTAGAAAAGGCTATTAATGAAAGAAATACATTCTTTGTCTAGGAAAGAGTCTCACATAGTATAAGAAAGTATTTATAGTTGTAAAAGAAAGTGAGGTTTTGGGGTTCTTTTTTCTTTTAAAGGTATATTGTAGCATTTTTTTTTGGGTAGGTCCATTTCCTAAAAAGAAGTGAGACAAGTTATTTCGAAGACCCCAAAAAGGAAGTGGGACAAGTAGTTTGGAACGGGGGGGGGGGGGGGGGGGTTGATAATAGAAGTCTAGCTTTCCTTTTTAAATACTGAAGTGATTGCTCTCCCTTATGCAATTGCAGGCTCTTATTCTTGACTAAGTTAAGATGTCATATGGCGGGGGTGGTGCAGAGGCACATGCACGGCACAAACAGTATGAGTACAGATCCAATTCAAGTCTTGTATTAACTACTGATAACCGTCCTCGTGACACCCATGAGCCAACTGGTGAGCCTGAGACGCTTTGGGGGAGAATTGATCCTAAAGAATTTGGTACTCGTGCCTACAAGGGAAAGCCTGCTGAGCTTGAGGAGAAAGTTAGAAAGGCAAAGAAGAAGGAGAGAGAACCACTTTCATCAGAGCCTATCCCCACTAGACAGAGCAAAAAGAGGCGCCTGCAGGAGGAAAGTGTGCTTACGGCCACAGAAGAGGGCGTTTATCAACCAAAAACTAAAGAGACCAGGGCTGCATATGAGGTGATGCTAAGTGTTATCCAGCACCAGCTAGGAGGTCAGCCTCTTAATATTGTTAGCGGTGCTGCAGATGAAATTCTAGCTGTTTTGAAAAACGAGAACTTCAAAAACCCTGAGAAGAAGAAAGAGACCGAGAAGTTGCTGAATCCAATCCCCAGCAGCATCTTTGATCATTTGGTGTCCCTTGGCAAGTGCATAACTGATTATCAAGAAGGCAGTGATGCAGTTGCTACTGCAACTGCCACTGGCGACGAAGCTCTTGATGGTGATGTTGGAGTGGCTGTAGAATTCGAGGAGAATGAGGATGATGATGATGAAAGTGATCTTGATCTAGTGCCGGAGGATGAAGATGAAGATGATGGACTGGAAGAGAATGGTGCGAGCGCTATGCAGATGGGTGGTGGAATCGATGATGATGAGATGCAGGAAGCTGACAAAGGCATGACCTTGAATGTTCAGGACATTGATGCTTACTGGCTACAAAGAAAGATCTCTCAAGCTTATGATCAGAAAATTGACCCACAGCAGAGCCAGAAGGTTGCAGAAGATGTTCTTCGAATCCTTGCTGAAGGTGATGATCGAGAAGCTGAGAACAAATTACTGTTGCATCTTGATTATGATAGGTTCAATCTGGTTAAATATCTGTTACGGAACAGGCTGAAGGTTGTGTGGTGCACTCGCTTGGCAAGAGCTGAAGACCAAGAGATGAAGAAGACAATTGAGGAAGAGATGGCAGGGTTGGGGCCAGACCATACTGCTATTTTAGACCAGTTGCATGCTACCAGGGCCAGTGCAAAAGAGCGACAGAAGAATTTAGAGAAGAGCATCAGAGATGAGGCTCGTAGACTAAAGGATGAGACTAGTGGGGATGGTGATCGGAGACAGAGAATGATTTCTGATAGAGATGGCGAGAGTGGTTGGTTGCAGGGGCAGAGACAGCTACTTGACCTTGAAAGCCTTGCATTTAATCAAGGTGGGCTGTTTATGGCGAACAAGAAGTGTGAGCTTCCACGAGGATCGTTTAGAAATCATAAGAAGGGGTATGAAGAAGTCCATGTCCCATATTTGAAGCCGAAGCCATTGGGTGAAAATGAGAAATTTGTTAAAATATCTTCCATGCCGGAGTGGGCGAGGCCGGCTTTCAAAGGGATGACCCAGTTGAACAGAATTCAAAGTAAAGTATATGAGACTGCACTCTTCACCCCAGATAACATTTTGTTGTGTGCTCCAACTGGAGCTGGCAAGACAAATGTTGCCATGCTCACTATTCTTCATCAGATTGAATTGCACAGGAATACAGATGGATCTTACCAGCACAACAAATACAAGATAGTTTATGTGGCACCAATGAAGGCACTTGTTGCCGAAGTTGTTAGCAACTTGAGTAATCGTCTGCAGGAATATGGCGTCAATGTGAAAGAGTTGAGTGGAGATCAAACATTGACTCGGCAGCAAATTGAAGAGACTCAAATTATTGTAACAACACCTGAGAAGTGGGATATTATTACCCGAAAGTCAGGTGACCGCACCTACACACAACTTGTAAAGCTGCTTATTATTGATGAAGTACATCTCCTACATGACAGCAGAGGTCCGGTGCTGGAAAGTATTGTTGCGAGAACTGTGAGGCAAATCGAAACAACTAAAGAGCATATTCGTCTGGTCGGCTTATCTGCTACGCTTCCAAATTATGAGGATGTGGCGGTGTTTCTGAAAGTTGATCTGAAGAAAGGACTTTTTCATTTTGACAACAGCTATAGGCCTGTCCCCCTCGATCAACAGTATATTGGAATTACTGTTAAAAAGCCACTGCAGAGATTTCAACTGATGAATGATGTATGCTATGAGAAGGTAATGGATAATGCTGGGAAGCATCAAGTTCTTATATTCGTCCACTCAAGGAAGGAAACAGCCAAAACAGCTCGTGCCATTCGTGATACTGCCCTTGCTAATGATACTCTTGGTAAATTTTTGAAAGAGGATAGTGTAAGTCGTGAGATTCTTCAATCGCAAACAGAACTTGTCAAGAGCAATGATCTTAAAGATCTGTTGGCGTATGGCTTTGCAATTCATCATGCAGGGATGGCCAGGGCGGACCGTACAGTTGTTGAGGAGCTTTTTGGTGATGGACATATTCAAGTTTTAGTATCTACAGCAACTCTAGCTTGGGGTGTCAACTTACCTGCTCATACAGTGATAATTAAAGGCACCCAGATATACAACCCTGAGAAGGGTGCTTGGACTGAACTGAGTCCCCTTGATGTCATGCAGATGCTTGGTCGTGCTGGAAGGCCTCAATTTGACACGGCTGGGGTGGGCATAGTTATAACTGGACACAGCGAGTTGCAGTATTATTTGTCTTTAATGAATCAGCAGCTTCCAATTGAGAGTCAATTCATTTCCCAATTGGCTGATCAGATGAATGCTGAAATTGTCCTTGGTACTGTGCAAAATGCAAAAGAGGCTTGCAAGTGGCTCCTCTACACTTATCTCTGTATTCGCATGGTTCGGAATCCCTCTCTTTATGGTCTGCCAGCTGACGCTCTTAAAAGTGACGTAATACTAGAAGAAAGGCGAGCCGATCTGGTAATTACAATTTTTATTGTGCACATTATCATTTATCAAATCTATGTCACATTCATTTGCTTAGATTTCACTTGGGTGTTTTGAACTGGTAGGTGTTGTTTTTGTTTATTCTCAGTATCTTTTTACTGCATTACATCCGTATGTAGCCATTCTTTTCATGATGTTTGCTCAACTACATAATCAAGTTTTAATACGGAGTAGATTTTGTATGTATTCAAGCATTGGTGTCTGTGTGTCAGTGTCTTTATAGGTCTTTACTGAAGATCTTCATTCATCACATTTACCTTTAATATTTCAAAGACATAGTTCTCACCCCTTTGGCATTTGCTTAGAATTTATACCTCTGCCATTAGCTCTAATCAAGTTGTAGCGTACTTTTTAAAAATATGACTTATTTTTCAATCTTAAAGTAGTTAATACTTACTAGTATATCAAAGTTCAATCCCAAATTATTCTATCCTAGATTTTCTTAACTGTAGGGCCATTAGGAAAAATGCCAAGTCTTATGAGGAGTGGTTTATATTGTTTCATTTGTTTGGCAGGTTCATTCTGCAGCTACACTGCTGGACAAAAATAATTTGATCAAATATGACCGTAAAAGTGGATATTTCCAAGTCACAGACTTGGGTCGCATTGCTAGCTATTATTACATAACACATGGAACAATATCTACATACAATGAACATTTGAAGTCCACTATGGGTGATATTGAGCTATGTCGGCTGTTCTCTCTTAGTGAGGAATTTAAATATGTTACGGTTCGGCAAGATGAGAAGATTGAATTGGCAAAACTTCTAGAACGTGTTCCAATTCCTGTCAAAGAGAGTATTGAGGAGCCCAGTGCCAAGATAAATGTTCTACTCCAGGCCTATATTTCACAGTTGAAGCTTGAAGGACTGTCTTTAACATCAGACATGGTGTTCATAACTCAGGTTTGTTTCTATATTAACTTCCTTTTTCATACTCTACATATGGGTTCTTCTTAATTGTCGGTTATTGTTTGACTTGGTAATTTAAGTGTTCACTTTGTATTTTGTAGAGTGCTGCACGGCTCATGCGTGCACTCTTTGAGATTGTTCTTAAAAGAGGGTGGGCCCAGCTAGCTGAAAAGGCTTTGAAATGGTGCAAAATGATTAGCAAGAGGATGTGGAGCGTTCAGACTCCCCTTCGCCAGTTCCATGGGATTCCGAATGAAATCTTAATGAAGCTGGAGAAACACAATTTGGCATGGGAAAGGTATTATGATCTTTCATCACAAGAATTGGGGGAGGCCATCCGCTTTCCGAAAATGGGAAAAATACTCCACAAGTATGTTCATCAGTTTCCAAAGCTTAACCTTGCTGCCCATGTTCAACCTATCACTCGCTCAGTCTTAAGGGTGGAACTCACAATAACCCCAGATTTCATATGGGAGGACAAAGTGCACGGATATGTGGAGCCTTTCTGGGTTCTTGTGGAAGACTGTGATGGAGAGTATATACTTCATCACGAGTACTTCATGCTCAAAAAGCAATACAGTGATGAGGACCACACACTGCACTTCACTGTTAAAATTTATGAACCATTGCCGCCACAATACTTCATTCATGTGATTTCTGATAGGTGGCTAGGATCTCACACTGTCTTGCCGGTTTCTTTCCGGCATCTTATTTTGCCAGAAAAGTATCCTCCTCCAACTGAGCTATTGGACTTGCAACCCCTTCCTGTGACTGCACTGAGAAATCCTGCGTATGAAGCCCTTTATCATGAATTTAAGCATTTCAATCCGGTCCAGACTCAAGTCTTTACTGTTCTTTACAACTCAGATGACAACGTATTGGTTGCAGCACCAACTGGTAGTGGGAAGACCATATGTGCGGAGTTTGCTGTTTTGAGAAATCACCAAAACGGATCTGACAGTACCATGCGTGCAGTGTATATAGCTCCAATAGAAGCCCTTGCCAAAGAGCGTTATAGTGATTGGAAGAAGAAATTCGGTGAGGGCCTAGGGATGAGGGTCGTTGAACTCACTGGGGAGACTGCGACTGACCTAAAACTTCTTGAGAAGGGACAGGTTGTCATTAGCACACCTGAGAAATGGGATGCTTTATCTCGTCGATGGAAGCAGCGGAAGCATGTGCAGCAAGTGAGCCTTTTCATAATTGACGAGCTCCACCTGATTGGGGGCCAGGGCGGTCCAGTCCTTGAAGTGATTGTCTCCAGGATGAGATATATTGCAAGCCAGCTGGACAAAAAGATCCGGATTGTTGCTTTGTCGACTTCCCTGGCAAATGCCAAGGATTTGGGAGAATGGATTGGGGCTACTTCTCACGGTCTCTTCAACTTCCCTCCTGGTGTCAGGCCTGTTCCCCTTGAAATACACATTCAGGGTGTTGATATCTCCAACTTTGAGGCCAGGATGCAAGCTATGACGAAGCCCACTTATACTGCGATCGTCCAGCATGCTAAAGGTGGCAAACCTGCCATAGTCTATGTCCCTACCAGAAAGCATGCACGACTGACTGCTGTGGATTTGATGACGTACTCCAGCACAGACAGTGGAGAGAGACCACTGTTCTTATCTCAGTCCGCGACTGATCTTGAGCCCTTTGTTGAGAGTATCAAGGAACCTATGTTGAAAGAGACATTGAAGTACGGGGTTGGTTACCTGCACGAGGGCTTGAACAGCAACGATCAAGACATTGTAAAAACACTGTTTGAGAACGGTTGGATCCAAGTATGTGTCATGAGTGGTTCGATGTGTTGGGGGGTACCCTTGTCTGCGCACTTGGTGGTGGTTATGGGAACCCAGTACTATGATGGCAGGGAGAATGCTCACACTGATTACCCAGTCACTGATCTGTTGCAGATGATGGGTCATGCAACCCGGCCTCTTTTAGACAATTCGGGTAAGTGCGTCATTCTTTGCCATGCACCACGGAAAGATTACTACATGAAGTTTTTGTTTGAAGCAATTCCAGTAGAGAGCCATTTGCAGCATTATCTCCATGACAATCTGAACTCTGAGGTAGTTTCTGGGGTCATACAGAACAAGCAGGATGCAGTCGATTATCTGACATGGACATTCATGTACAGGAGGCTCACTCAGAACCCCAACTACTATAATCTACAGGGTGTTAGTCACAGGCACCTATCAGATCACCTCTCAGAGCTGGTTGAGAACACATTGACTGATCTGGAAGCAAGCAAATGTGTTTCTATTGATGATGACTACTTGCTCGCACCAAATAATCTCGGGATGATAGCATCTTATTACTACATTAATTATACCACTATAGAACGGTTCAGTTCTTCTTTGACACCCAAAACAAAGCTCAAGGGTTTACTGGAAATTCTAACCTCGGCATCGGAGTATCAACAACTTCCTATTCGACCTGGCGAAGAGGAATTGATAAGACGTTTGATTAATCACCAGCGCTTCTCTTTTGAGAATCCCAAGTACTCAGACCCACATGTCAAAGCAAATGCTCTTCTGCAGGCCCACTTCTCTAGGCAGGTCGTAGGCGGAAACCTGGTTGCTGACCAACAAGAAGTGCTCCTCTCCGCTAACAGGCTTCTGCAGGCTCTGGTCGATGTTATTTCCAGCAATGGCTGGCTCAACCTTGCAATTCTTACAATGGAGGTGAGCCAAATGGTTACTCAGGCCATGTGGGAACGTGATTCAGTGTTACTCCAGCTCCCACATTTCACAAAGGAGATAGCAAAACGGTGCAAGGACATTCCTGGAAAGAGCATCGAGACAGTTTTTGATTTGCTGGAGATGGAAGACAGCGAGAGGCGTGACCTCTTGCAAATGTCGGACTCGCAGCTGATGGACATTGCAAGGTTTTGCAACCGCTTTCCTAACATAGAAATGTCGTATGAAGTTGTGGACAAGGAGAGTGTGAGTGCTGGGGGGGACGAGATCAGTGTGCAGGTCACCCTTGAGCGGGACCTTGAGGGGAGAACAGACGTAGGACCCGTTTTTGCGCCAAGGTATCCCAAGACGAAAGACGAGGGGTGGTGGCTTGTGGTCGGTGATCCCAAAACTAACCAGCTGCTTGGCATCAAAAGGGTCTCCCTCCAAAGGAAGTCAAGGGTCAAACTTGACTTCTCTGCTCCAGGCGAGCCTGGGAAGAAGTCATACACGCTCTATTTCATGTGTGATTCTTACATGGGCTGTGACCAGGAGTATACCTTCACTGTTGACGTGAAAGAAGCTGGGGCTGTTGAATGATACAGAATTAGCAAACAGTAGTTAATTTTGTACGGAAAAGTTGCACAACTGCTTGGAGTCAGTTTCTTGATGATTGTTCAATTTTCCGTTTTCTTGCATGTTCATCTCCTCTATCTGCAAATGCGGTGATGTCATCTCTACCCTTTCATTTAATGACATTTTTGTGAATATCATAATTTTCAAAACTTATGTGTTATTTTTAATAACTGAAAATTAGCAATGAATTTCTTCTCACAACAGTATGTGTGCATAGAAACACAGGTTTTGTTTAAAAAAGAATACTCTTCCGTCTCTTAAAACTTTGTCAACTTTCCCTTTTTGATTGCCCACTTACTTTGTCACTTTCCATGTAAATTTAATTTTCATTACTGTATGCTTATCTTTAATTTAAGAGTTTCACTCGCTATTTTTATCAGTTAGCGACTTAAGTTAAATTTATATCCACCAGTTAACATTCATTCATCATACATGCTTACCCGAAAATGGTAAACATCATATTTGGACGAACATATGATCATACATTCTGGAATGCACACGCACGCACATGGCTCAGAAACTGGCATATCACTGATATGCTGTTTTCCCTCCAATCCGGAGTAGAGTTGACCGGGACGTTCCGCCTCACTTATCCAGAGCTTTTCCAGTTCGAGCTTTCCAAGTCAGCACATCCCTATCATCCTCCCCCTGGGGAGAGAGAGATGCCGAGCAGCGGCCAGAGCCCGGTGGCCAGGTAGCCTTTCTTGACGTCCAAATTGAGGCTTGTCCAGGGAAAATGGCTGTAAGAGTCAGGCTGCTGGATTTCAAAGGTGTAGTCAGTGGGACTGAGTGGGGGTAACAGGGGGTTCTCTGAGTGGTGCTGCGGTTTGGTGTCGTACTGTATGTGGCTGCTCAGTTTCAGGGCGGCACTAACTTTGACTATCCCCGGGAGACAGCACCTTGGAGGTGGCTCTACGCTTGGAGCAGGGTGGTGTGGCCAAGCCGCTCTGTCGTTAGTGGCTATTCCTTTGTTTGATTGTTTTAAAATGGATAAAGTATATCCCTCAAACTCACGTTACTTCACTGCCAACTGAAACCCGGGCCTGGCCGTGCGGTGACGGGGTGCAAACAGATCAATACTCCCTCAGGCCAAAAGCTTTACAATATGCTTGGAATCCATTTGGTCAATATGTGACCCCACCTATCAAATCAGCCATTAATCCTGTCAGGTCACAGCAAGAGTGAAGAGACGGCAGTTAGGCATGGAGTTACGGCTCCTCATCGTCGGAAAAGGTTTGCCTTTGGCTGCTTCTTCGCCATGCCTTTTGCCGTTGGTTTGTACACGGATCTGGGTCTTTTACCCAACATGAGAGACATCCAATGCCATTACTCCCTTCTGCCTTTATTTCATCGTTTCTTCTTGTTGAAATCGGTTCGCCTTTTGTATATGAAATTTTGAAGAAAATCAAGAACACTTGAATCTTTTTGAACAAGATTCCACAGACGGAGAACTAATTAAAACTATATCAATAATACGTATTATAAAAGCTTAATGTGATTGATTACATATACTTCTAAAATAGAGATTGTATTTAAGATATACTACGTACTTGTATATAATAACTTGATGTACTTTAACAAGTTATTGAAAAGGAATTGAAGTTTGTCGCATTACATTAAGTTATATACTCCCTCCGTCCCGCAAAGATGTTCACAGTTTGACTTACACACATATTAAGGAAATAAACTTGTCAGAGGGTAAGTTTTACTGTTTTGACACTGTTTCGACACTGTTTGGCACTGTTTGACAGTGTTTTGCACTGTTTGGCATTGTTTTAATGTAGAATAACTTTCCATTTAGGGAAAGGGGAACTTCTTTTTGGGACTGCTAAAAAAAGGAAAGAGGGAACTTCTTTGCGGGACGGAGGTAGTAATAACTTAATGTACTTTGACTCTAGCATACGAAATCTTATTTACAATCAGGGGCGGAGCCAAGGAGGGTCAGGGTGGTCAGCCGACCCCGCTGAAAGTTTGAGAGTATAGCACTCTGAAATATCTTCGATTTGATATATTATGACCCCTGTAACTTATTATGAGTAAAAAATTATGACTTCTGGAAAATCAGCACTATGTAAACGTAAAATCAGCAAAATTTGATGTGTAGTATTGATTATTTTTCCAAATTTTAGAAATAATGTTTAATTAACTCATTACTTATGTGACATGATTCAGAAACAGAGCAAATACAATCTATTTTATTGCTACGAGTGCCTATTTATATAAACTACAAATGAAACATTCAACTCGGACATTGTTTAATAAAACGATCTACTATTTTCATTTTGTACATAGTTGATTTTCGACCCCCTGAGCCGTTTTTCTGGCTCCGCCACTGCTTACCATTGTACTTTTTTCATCTTGACCATTGTACTTTTTAGGCATGTATGGTTTTCCCGATGAGCTGAGCTTTCTGATCAGTTTACATGCATTGATGACTATGGAAGGTTGTCTTGCATTAGAAAATTAGTTTCCCATCAAAGGGTCAGAAGTTTTGATTAGTGTATATCTTAAATTCTTGGCATTTAACATTATAGAGCAAGAACATCATCTATGGAGTAATTTTTTTTGGACAATTCTTTCTAACCTATATAGTATCTGCATTGTACGGATGGATGGATGTAAAACTCCTGACTTAGGTGACATTGAATTTCAGGGACTGACAAACTTGATGTGTATGTTGAAGCTAATTGTATCAGGGACTGAAGCCCAACCAAAAACACCCCAGCTTTCAGTAATCTTATTATGAGAAATACTCTAACCACTGTGTCTTTTGTTTGTTAGTGGGTGGGTATTATGGAATATATGTAGCTCAATATTCATCGAAGGCCATACTTCTACATCTTCGATGAATTCTTTGATTCTGGAAAGATTTGCTTATAAAATCTTTTAGACCATTGACCCTTATTAATGTTGTTTTGTATTTAAAGAAATGTAGCTAACTGCCTAACTGTATCAATCCACAAAATACATATGCTCTGGTAAATTTGATTCTTCTTAGATCTGAAATTATATACTCCCTCCGTCCCAATATAAAAGGCACACTTTCCTTTTCGGTCCGTCCCAATATAAAAGGCACATTTCCCTTTTTGGCAAACAAAACAGTGCAAAACAGTGCCAAACAGTGCCAAACAGTGTCCAAACAGTGCCAAACAGTGTCAAACAGTGTTCAAACAGTGTTCACCCTTAAAATGTCTAGAAATACAAATGTGACTTTTATATTGGGACGGATGGAGTATATTTTGTTATATATTACTTGAAATTCGTGATAAGCAAGGATGTATAAAAATGAAAGAAGCTGCCCAAAAAACGTCCCGTACATGGAAGTCTTTAATAATTTTTAGTGTATGCTTACTAAACTTTTAAAATTTATTATTTTTAATTATAATTTCAGAAATTCATAATTGTGTTATAAGGCGAAATTGATACTAATAATCCCTACTTTTACACTTTTTACAAAAATTATTCCTACTTGAAAAGTTTACAACAATAAACCCAACTAGACATTTTAGTCTTTTTTTCCCCTTATTTCTTTCGTGAACCACATCCATTGATCCAACTCTAATTGTGTGGAAGTTACGAATACGTAACACTTTTAATTCAATTTTATGGTGAGGTCTGTAAGGACTACATTCCTTATGGGCAATAGGTAAAAGATTAAAAGTGTGATTTTCCTAAAAATAATAGAATCTTTGATAAAAATAGGCTTATTTATGTCTAGGATGATCTAGACATAAATATCCTATTGGATTGAAATTTTCTGACTTGATTTGGTATAACCTATTTAAGTCTAGTATGATAAATATATGCTCCATGTGTATTTTAAAACTATCGAAACTTGTTCCAGTCTAAGATTAAAATAAATTCAAGTAAAAACATTCTTATTGAAATAATTAGGAACGAGTGTAAGAAACTATTTCTTGGGAGAAGAACAAATAAAAAAGGAAATGTGGGGAAAATGAAGAAGAAAAAAACATAAATAGACATTGTTGGAATAATAGGATGAAGAATTGAATTGTTAATAACGAAAAAAGGATGAAGAAAAAGAAAAAACAAAGATAAGAAATGACTGTAGCTAGAAGATCGGTCCAAATTGAGAAAGAAGAAGGTTAAAGGAGAAAACAGAAATCAATAAAGAAATGGCGGCTGAAAGCTTCACTGCTTATGGGAAGAAAAAGAAAATAGAAAAGGTAAAGCTAAAATGCCTCTAAGTTGCTACAACAGGTTGCTTTCTGGTCATTTGGTTTATATGACCATTTTTCATTAGTAATGCACCAATGTGATGCATTTTTTTTTAGTATAGGGGCTTAAATGATCTTTTCAAGATAGTAGACGGGTGTATTTGATTCTTCTTCCTTTTAAATATATTGAAGCAAATATATACATAAACATCGATAATATTACATTTGAGTTTAATCTTTTATCATATAAAAATTGAATTCAATATTCAATAAAAAAATAACTGAAAAGTTAACACTGCTAGCTCTCGGAAAATTTATTTGAAACAGTTAACTAGTAGAGTGTTTTGTGAAATTTATGAGTAGGGATTATTCTTGTAAAATGTGTAAAAGTAGAGATTATTGATGTCAATTTTGCCTATTTATAATATCTAAAATTTTGCATCACGTGCAACGTACGAGTGAATTACTAGTGTTATATTAAATATGAGTATCATTTAAAAAAAATATGAGCAAGGTAAAAATAGTAATCATATAAGTGCAAATTACCCGTATAGTTCACTTTGGTGTGATCAATATCATTTGTGTACCACTTATTTATACTTTTCATTTTTAACTTTTGTATTTTCAATTATCTTTATTTATTTCAGTTGTAGACTTTTCTTTCTCCTCCTCCCGTTTCTTCTTCTCGCGAGATCCTCCTTCCACCTCCACCCGCTCGACTTGGACCTTCACTCTCGTCTCTTTGCTCCGACCTCTGTGAAGCATCGACGCCAACTCACCACAATCGCCGGTCATTTCTTAGTCATCATAGCTTGATGGCCTCCCCGCGGATCGTTGCACTCCTAGTCGATGAATGAATTCAGGCAAAAGGCAATTTCTCCAGTCCTCCTTAATTCATCTATCATCTTCGTATCTGATTTAATTTCTAACCTTGTAAGTTTCTAACCTAATTTTTAATGTTAATCTCAAATTTATACTCGCCGTCCAAAGCTTTGGCATGGCTGTCATCCTATTTATGTCGTTATTGCTGAGTTCGAGGTTGATTTCCGAGGGCTGAGCTC